AAAAAAAAACCGTTCATAAAAGAAATTTGTAAACCAAGATAACTCTTAAAGCTTGAAATATATGATGTGATGAACTGCCAATTAAAGATGGGCAATGGTTTATTGCGGCGAAAGAAGCAAACTAACTTTTAGTAGGCTAATAAAATCGATTGAGTCTTTAATGTATAACTCATGACGACCTGGTAGTATGGCCCATTCAGTCTTTTAGGCTTAAGGGATTTAAACAGAATATAATTCGACTACGTCAGACTGGAGCTAAATGGGTCATAGTGCCTAAATGAAACAGCAATGTTAAATGTACGCCATGCCTTGCCGTGGAAAACCGTGAAAAGCCGGTCAAGAAGCCGCCACAAAAAAAGAGAAGGTATGTTTTGCCTTGAAAGGCAGATACACAGTAGATGTGCTGCTAGGCTAAACCTGGAGCGCAAGGAGCACAAGGACCAGTGACACACCACAGGGGCCGGTGGCGTAATGGTAGCGCATTGCGTCCGGACGCGAACAAGAATGGTTCGATTCCCTTCCGGTCCAGAACAATTTTTGAGAAAGGGCTCCGTTCACGACATGCCTCATATACATCTTAGTATCATGCCCACTGCTCATCCTGACAACTGATTTCATAAGAAAGATTTCACTCACCTCCTTCAAGTTGTTCTCCTCATGAAAAGTTCTCGACAAAAGCAAACAAGTCATCAAGCCTTCCTTCTTCGTGAATAATATGAAATCTTTGCCGATACGCATTGCGCCTCTGTAGAGAAAAAAAAAGTTACTATAGAATAATAAAAGAATCTTACCGAAAATGCTTAGGCACTATTCTTTGTGAAATTGCTCTTGGTACAGAACTCCACCGTTCCAGGGATTCTTTCAGAACTAGACGCAAAATCCAAGACAATGTTATGCAAGACGCTGCGTTTTTTCAGGTTCCAATAAACCACATCACTAGGGCTCCCACTAGACGTGATGCCTAGAAGTTGTTAATACTGCATGTCTCGTCCATCAAGCCCACTTTTTCTCGATACGGCCGCGCTAATATCCAATTAACTTACGATTTTAGGCCGTTGCCATACTGTCCAACCATGCCCGGATTGAGCCTTTTGTTGGAAAAGCCAAATGAAACAACCGACAACATTTCATCTTTGCTCATTCCACAGCCATCGTCCAGAAAACTCAACTGTCCGCTTCCTGCAAAAGATGTAAATACACACAGAAACAGAACAAAAGCCCCCAAATTCTTTCACGACTGGCGCGAGAAGGAAACTCAGCCCAAAGTTTCACAAACAACTGGAAACGTCTAAACATGCTGATTAACAATAATCAAAATATCACGATTTTATTAATTGCCCTATGATATTATTATATATTATTATATATATATGTCCTAGTTGGCGATTAAATAAAATGTGAAATGTACGTATTAAAAGTATTCGGGAATACTTATACTAATAATCAAACTATTTAATTGCTTTGTTTCAAAAAATCAAAAAATTACATATTGCCCCCCC